GAAATTTTTTTACGGTCCCCCCTTCTTCAAATTTCGCAAAAATTTTGACATTTTCGAAACTCAACTAAATACATTTTCTTGCAGATTTCGAGCTCTAGAACTCAAATCCGGCCTCGGTTTTTTCATAACTGCAACCGTTTTTCCACAATCGACCGTTAAAATATCGAAATTTTTGAAATTTTCAAAAATTCGCATTTCGCAGCGATTTTTTCGAAAATGTTGCTTCCTGACCATCAACATGCTATATTTTTGGAATCAGCGTGTCGAGATCTACGTCCCTGAATTTTTTCATAATTTTTAGACAACTTTTTCAAAATTGAAATTTGTTAACGGTCCCCCCTTCTTCAAATTTCGCAAAAAGTTTGACATTTTCGAAACTCAACTAAATACATTTTCTTGCAGATTTCGAGCTCTAGAACTCAAATCCGGCGTCGGTTTTTTCATAACTGCAACCGTTTTTCCAGAATCGACCGTTAAAATATCGAAATTTTTGAAATTTTCAAAAATTCGCATTTCGCAGCGATTTTTTCGAAAATGTTGCTTTGTGACCATCAACATGCTATATTTTTGGAATCAGCGTGTCGAGATCTACGTCCCTGAATTTTTTCATAATTTTTAGACAACTTTTTCAAAATTGAAATTTTTTAACGGTCCCCCCTTCTTCAAATTTCGCAAAAATTTTGACATTTTCGAAACTCCACTAAATACATTTTCTTGCAGATTTCGAGCTCTAGAACACAAATCCGGCCTCGGTTTTTTCATAACTGCAACCGTTTTTCCAGAATCGACCGTTAAAATATCGAAATTTTCAAAAATTCGCATTTCGCAGCGATTTTTTCGAAAATGTTGCTTCGTGGCCATCAACATGCTATATTTTTGGAATCAGCGTGTCGAGATCTACGTCCCTGAATTTTTTCATAATTTTTAGACAACTTTTTCAAAATTGAAATTTGTTAACGGTCCCCCCTTCTTCAAATTTCGCAAAAATTTTGACATTTTCGAAACTCAACTAAATACATTTTCTTGCAGATTTCGAGCTCTAGAACTCAAATCCGGCCTCGCTTTTTTCATAACTGCAACCGTTTTTCCAGAATCGACCGTTAAAATATCGAAATTTTTGAAATTTTCAAAAATTCGCATTTCGCAGCGATTTTTTCGAAAATGTTGCTTCGTGACCATCAACATGCTATATTTTTGGAATCAGCGTGTCGAGATCTACGTCCCTGAATTTTTTCATAATTTTTAGACAACTTTTTCAAAATTGAAATTTTTTAACGGTCCCCCCTTCTTCAAATTTCGCAAAAATTTTGACATTTTCGAAACTCAACTAAATACATTTTCTTGCAGATTTCGAGCTCGAGAACTCAAATCCGGCCTCGGTTTTATCATAACTGCAACCGTTTTCCAGAATCGACCGTTAAAATATCGAAATTTTTGAAATTTTCAAAAATTCGCATTTCGCAGCGATTTTTTCGAAAATGTTGCTTCGTGACCATCAACATGCTATATTTTTGGAATCAGCGTGTCGAGATCTACGTCCCTGAATTTTTTCATAATTTTTAGACAACTTTTTCAAAATTGAATTTTTTTAACGGTCCCCCCTTCTTCAAATTTCGCAAAAATTTTGACATTTTCGAAACTCAACTAAATACATTTTCCTGCAGATTTCGAGCTCTAGAACTCAAAACCGGCGTCGGTTTTTTCATAACTGCAACCGTTTTTCCAGAATCGACCGTTAAAATATCGAAATTTTTGAAATTTTCAAAAATTCGCATTTCGCAGCGATTTTTTCGAAAATGTTGCTTCGTGACCATCAACGTGCTATATTTTTGGAATGAGCGTGTCGAGATCCACGTCCCCGAATTTTTTCATAATTTTTAGACAACTTTTTTAGGATAATTGAAAATTCGAAAAATCGTCGAGAAACCGAAAAAGCAAAAAATCGATTAATCGAGAAATGGAAAAATTTAATATCAAAAAGTCTTAGAGAATATGTCAATTTGAAATTTTATCATTTTACACCCATTTTAACTCCAAACAAAATCAGAATTTCGTTCAGCAATTTTTTCTTAAAAAAAAAAATACATAACACAAAAATCACAAATCATTGCGACGTATCAGCTTTTCTTCAAACTCCCCGAGTCCAATCAAGATTTATCGCCGCCGAAATATTTATTGTCCCGGCGCATCCGCCGAAAGTCAATACCGGCAACCTTAAGAAAGGTCCTCTTCCGCCCCCATAACTTATTCACCACACTCGCCTCCAACTCGCAACAAAAATCCGACCCAACTTAGAAACATAATTACCAAACTCCTCGGAAATTTCTTCGACCAATTAATTACACGTTAATTTTATGGCCCGCCTATTTAAACCCACCCCGACCCCGAACTATTCATTCCCGCCATGACCGAACTGCGATACTTCAGCGGCGTCGTCTTCATGCTGAAACTGTCCTTCTTGTACCCCGTCGACACGAAATCGAAACTCGGCACGGGTTTATACTTTGTCTGGGGATTCTTTTACGCCGCCTCGTTCGTAACGACGTTCGTCCAATGCGCCGTTTATTTGTACAAAACCCCCTTCGACTTGATAGAGGAGTCCATGGTGATAATGAACACGGGTGAGTTGGTATAATTTCCGAAAAAACAACCCAGAAATTCCAGTTATATACTTTTCGTTGTTCGTCAACTTCACGTTTTTGTTCGTGAAACGACGAAAATTAGTCGAGCTGGTGGTTAACATTAATGCGAATTTCGTGAATGGGAGCGATAACAAAGTCGAGGAGATTACGATGGAGAGGGCGGCGAGGATCTCGGACAAGTTTGCGTATTTTTGGGCCTTGAATTGTGTCGTTAGTTGTTTAATGCCGACGATATCGTCACTACTGAGTGGTAACATGTATTAATATTTATTATTAAAATTGCTAAATTTATCGCACTATTAACAAAAATTGTAGACAGCTACCCATTCTTGAGTGGATTCCATACGACACCCAAAAATCGCCCCTTCGTTTCGCAATAACCTACATCTGGCAAGTTTTCTGTTTGACGAATCTAGGGGCGATTTACGCCGTCCTCGATTTAGTCTTTCCGTGTATTTCAGTCGTGATGGGTCAACAATTCAAGATTTTGTCCAGCAACTTCACGAACAACATAAACAAAACCCTTGTCGAATCGGGGGTGCCAATCACCCCCAATTTCACCCCTGAGACTCTCAACGAAATCAAGTCGGACGAATTTCAAAAACAAAATTTCCGCTACTTTAGAAAAAACATAAAACACCACCAGATTTTGCTGGAATATTGTGACGACCTCAACGACATTTTGAGCACTTTTCTCATGGGAAAAATTTCCGCTGCCATTTTCAACACGCTTTTCATGGCTTTTAGCTTGATCACGGTACCGAAAACCCACGCTTAAAATCCAACTAACTCGATTTTTCCAGACGGGAAACCACGCCATGATTTTCGGACTCGCGAGCTACGTTATGTCCGTGACCATCGAGCTTTTCATTTACACGTACAGCGGGCAGATTTTAACCCAGGTATCGACAACATTTTTTCTACGATTTGTTATCATTGTTTTTTTTTAGAGTGCGGACGTTCTGTGGCCGCTGTACGAAAGCCAGTGGTATTTATGCGACTTGAACTACCAGCGGACGTTCAACATTGTACAAATGCGAGCGTCGAAAATGGTGCACACCAAAGCCGGGAATTATTTCTCGATGTCCGCTTCGTCTTTTATAACTGTAATAAATTTGCTATGGATTTTATTGCTGTAGTAAGTTTGGGATTTTCAGTTTATGAAGGCCTTGTGTTCGTATGTTGCTCTGCTGAAGGAGCTTACGGAACGAGGGCGATAAATCTAATTACGATACTTACGAGATATTTAAATTTGAAATTGCCACTACACAGATGCACCAATTGTATGGAACTGTGTTGTATTTATCGTAGTCAAGGACGTGTAATTTAGATTACGCGATAATAATAGTTTTTACTGCAATAAACATGATATTGCAAAAAAAATAACACAAACAGGATATTTTTGTAAAAATTAGTGGAACATCTGTCATTAAGGTGCGACCATGTGGTAGGTAGCAATAAGGGAGAAAAGCAAATAAGGCCCTTTCAACAGCCCGCACGTAGCGGCAGAACGCCCTTAATTTCGTACACGTTTGTTAGCTCAAGCGCCTGCATATTAGCGAAGACTTAATTTTCAGCAAACATCGCACAATCGGAAATGCAGCCCCAATTACCCCCTGTTTATTTATTGTGTTTAAATTAGTTGTTATGTATGTGAAAAGTCCCCATATACGTGCACACGTGCAATGTTGGTTGCCTACACCACATTATAAACACACTACAAATATTAATTATTTTTGTATTTATTTAAACAATTTACGTCGTTTTCTGCTTAATTAAAGTACGCACAATCAATTTACAACAATTGCGTTCTTTTAATAATTGTTAAAAAAATTTCACAAAATGTTTCTGTAGAATCTACCACCAGAATTGGCAAAGTTATACACAGATTTACATTAAAACACGTAATGAAAGAACTTACCAGTGGCGTTTTTCTTGTCTTGCGGTTTTAAACAATTAACTCGGCAACAATACACCGTTTTTAAAAATTATTCTAGGTTATGTTCACCACCAACCCATCACCTGTCAACACCAAAATTCACTAAATCCGGGACAAGTTCTACGTTCAAAAACGTATTTGAATTGATTTAATTTGACAACAAAGTGTAGTCGATTTTCATAAAAATGGACAACGACACAACCTAGACATGATATAATTGAAAACAAATTAATTTGTTCATTTTTGTCGAAATCATGTCCTTATGTTGGCACTGCTCATAATAATTTTGACGTTTGTTTGTGTATTGCTGGTTGCATAGATACAAAAAGCATGTTTGAATTAATTAAAATTACATAAATCACGTTTATTTTCATTTCAGTTATAATTATAAATAAACAAATCGGTGCAAGGGTACTTACAGCCACCTCGTTCTCCAACTTATGACAACTGTGCTCTTCCGGAGGTCTCTCGAAGTAATTATGTTCCCTAGCAATTCTCTCAACATCCCCTTTTCGTCTGGGGACAGTCCCCATCACGAGCGACCTCCCGAGAAAATCCCCCTTGACGAAGTGCTGCTCGCACACATGATAACTATCACACTTGAGAAAACTGTCCGGAATTTCGCAAAATTGTTTCCACTGGCGTCGAACGTGGGGGTCACGGGGGAACTTAAAAAAGCGCATGTTGACTCTGTTTGAGTAGTAGGCGCTCCTGCAGTGGGGTACTTTGCACGATATTTTCAGGCGAGGGGGTGGTTCTAGGTTGTACTTGCGAAGAATTTCCGGGCTTGGCCCCCAATCCATTGAGCGTCTAAACAAAAATAAATACTGTACACGTACGGAGGAGTGGATTAGAAAGTTTTTAGAAACGAATTTGGTAAAAATCGTGCACCAGTTTTGAAATTATTGGAGGTTATGTCTACTACCAACGTATCAATTGTCAACATCAAAAAGTCACTAAAGGGGCAAAAATGTTGAAACTGGTACTCCAACAAAGGTCTTTAGCTGAATAACCAAGTTTAGTGCGAAATTGTATGATAAAATAATTTATTTTATACGTTACACTGTGTTCACAATTGTGCCATTTCAAAATTCTCTGGTGAGTTTTAGTTTATCGGTTTTGTACACCTGACAATCGTAGTTGACATCACATTATCGTGTGTATTTCTGGTTGCATACCAATTTATTTTTGTAAAACTTAAAAATACTAATTAATTTATTGTATCAATTTTATTTATTAAATATTAAAACAAAAGGTCGTTTCTGTCCACATAGACCCCACGTCACTTGACGGTTCTGAAAAAACCACTTTAATTTCAGCCAATTCACTCTTAAAAACTTACAATAGCGTAAGAGTGTTGGTGGAGCCCGCCCCTTGATGGAATCCCGTGACGATAACCACCAAATCCCCGTTCTTAACAAAACCCAACTTCTTCCCAAAATCCACTCCAGCTTGTATTCTTACTTCGACAAGTTTGCGCCACTCGGTTGGAGTCTCACCTAAAAATTTCAACAGTCACACAAGTCAAACAAAGTTATTGTTCCAACCCTCAAAGAATAGAGGCAAAATCCCCCTATGCAGATGCAACTGTCTTGCCACTTGCTCGTTCCTAGTCACCGCAATAATAGGACACTTGGGTCTATATTTGGACAACAACTGCGCCGACTTTCCCGTTTTCGTAATAACAATAATGGCAGAAGCTAAAGAATTCATTGATGCTTCAACCGTGGCTACTGCAGTCGTTTGAACTACATCCAGCGGCAGAGACACCTATAACCCTATGGTGGAAAAGTCAAACCTTAAACCCACGGACTTACTCACCCCTCGGGTTAAGTCACTGAAGAGCTGCTTCTGCCAAATCGCCGCCTCCGCCTCTTGACATATACTGGCCATGGTTTTGACGCACTCCACCGGATACAACCCTTTCGCCGTCTCCCCCGCTAGCATGACGCAGTCGGCCCCATCCAACACCGCGTTCGCCACGTCCGAGCTCTCGGCCCGGGTGGGTCGTGGTCGGTCCACCATGCTCTCCAGCAAATGGGTCGCTATAACAATAGGCTTCCCGACTTTGTTGCACCTAGCCACGATGGCTTTCTGCGCTAGGAACACCTTCTGGAAGGAAATTTCCATCCCCAGGTCACCCCTATCGATTAAAATACCGTCGGCGCAGTCGATGATCTCGTCCATGTTCTTCACCCCTTGAGTGTTTTCGATTTTGGCGATCACGCGAATGTTGCTGTCACCCAAGACGTTTCGAATCTGGCGCACTTCTTCAGCGTTTCGGGTGAACGAAGCGAAAATGCAGTCAACCCCTTGTTGGACCCCGAATTTCAAATCAGATTTGTCTTTTTCGGAAACCGTGGGGAGGTCTTTTTCGACCCCTGGAAGGTTCACGCCTTTGCTGCTCCCCAGCATGCCGCCGTTGCTCACAGTGCAGAGGATTTTGTCTTGGGTGACGGTCTCGCAAGTGAGGGTGATTAACCCGTCGTCGATGAAAATTTGGTTGCCGGGTTTGAGTACTTTGGTGATGTTTGTATAGTCGACGTAGATGGTGTCTTTGCTTCCTTTAGTTGAGAAGGTGGGGTCCGTCGTGACTGTTATTTTGTCGCCTTTTTCGAGTTTGACTTCTGCTGACATTCCCTGATAGGGGTTTGTAAAGTGGTACGACGGTGGTACTAATGCTTACCCCTTCGAGGAGTCCGGTGCGGATTTCGGAGCCTTTGGTGTCGATGGCGATGGCCAGGGGGTAAGTGCGGCCGATTTTTTTGCTGTAGTTGGCAACGGCTACTCTCAAGTTTTTGATTAAATCGGCGTGGTACTCATGCGTACCGTGCGAAAAATTCAACCGGGCGATGTTCATCCCGGCTTCCATCATTTTTTCTAGGATGGATGGGTCCCGGCAAGCCGGGCCTTCGCAAATTCGTTAGGTTTAATCAACGAGGTACGTAGCGTACCTACTCACCTATAGTGCAGACGATGCCGCTCAGTCGGATGTACTTCGGCTGCGCCTGAATTTCCAGATTACTGATGTAATCCAAGAAAGTTTTTTTCGCAATTTGGGAACTCATCGTCACTTCGAAACTGGGACAAGTTGTGTATTGAATCTATTTTTAACGAAGCGCTGCTGTAAACACTCCAATTAATACTCGATTTGTTTGCAATGGTTATTACTGGGTAGACGTAAATCACGAGTTTTGTCTTCGATGTCCAAGACTCGTTTGACAGAGGTTCGGTGATATTGAGCGATGACCCGTGATTAACACATGTAAGAAGTGCGTGTTATCGCTGATAGCGGGTCCATCGATCCAACTCAAGTGTTTACTTTCTTATCTAATGGAGATACGACAAATCGGTGAAAAGCTAATCGTGCTTCCTGAAATGTTTGTACTTGTTATGTAACAATAAAAACAACCTTTGTGATTATGTGCCTTTTTAATTAACGACTGTTTCATAGTTTCATGCTTGTTACATGTGCGTCTGCTTTCACTTTGAAGGAAGGTTATACCTCGGTCACAACCTTGGAAGGTCACGAGAAGCTACCATAGCGCCACCTTTCACTTAAAAGCGCCGACGGTCGATTGTGGCTCCACCTTGCGTCCAAGGCCAGCGGCGTTTTCGGGACTTCCAGGTGATTAATAAAAGTCGTAAAAATTCGTGAATGGTTTATTGAAATACGTAACAATAGAAATAATACCCTACAAGTAAACGAAAGACTCGTTCTAGTTAAATATATTGCATTTGACATTATCCGTGATTGTCGTATAACAATTTCACAAAAACCTTACGTCCATATTTGACGGAACCGAAGCGTTTGATTTGAATTTTTCTTCGTTTAAAGATTAAAGGCAATCTACAAAATAAAACGGTTTACAAAATTGACGGTCACTTTAGGACGGTAATGGATATGTTTCTGCCATAAGTATTGCCTCGACTAGTCCTAAGGGACGGCCATTTCCTATACAAAATCTAAAGTGGGATCTATAAACTTGCTGGTGAGGTTAAAGTTCCCGCTGACGTTGCTTTAAGGGTTGAAAATTGTCATTTATAAACTTTCGATATTGTTGTCGAAATAAGTCTACACATATTAAGAAAACAAGGCAAAATGAAGGCCCGCCCACCCACCCTATCTCAATTGTGATGAATTTTTTTATTCGTCGTGAGCCAAGAGGGCGGAGCTTAACTGCTAAAACCCTTATTTCTCTACGAGAAATTAAAAAATGTTTTTGAGTATCGTATGCTTCCAAAAAAATTATGTATATTAAGAAATAGTATTTTGCAGTTAAGCTCCGCCCCCTTGGTTCACGGTGAATAAAAAAAATAATCACAATTGAGATAGGGTGGGCGGGCTTACATTTTGACCTGGCTTTTGGAGCTGAAAGTTGTCAGTTATAAACTCTGTTGCCAAATTGCCGTTAATAGTAACTTTTGCCGTATTTAAAGGGGTTGTAGAAGAAAAGTGGAAAATTTAAGTTGATTACTACAAAAATTTAACATTTTAGACATGTTTTAAGTTTCTTGTTCGAAATAAGTCTACACATATTAAGAAACAAAGGCAAAATTTAGCCCCGCCCACCCACCCTGTCTCAATTGTGATGATTTTTTTTATTCGTTGTGAGCCAAGAGGGCGGAGCTTAACTGCAATGTATTTATTTCTCTACGAGAAATTAAAAACATGTTTTTGAGTATCGTGTTGTCCAAAAAAATTATGTTTATTATGAAATAGTATTTTTCAGTTAAATTCCGCTCTCTTGGTTCAGAGTGAATAAAAAAAATAACCACAATTGAGACAGGGCGGGTGGGTGGGGTATATATTTTGCCTTTTTTCTTTATATATATATTATTCTTTTAACAACACTATATCGAAAACATGCTTTTAATTTCTTGTGAAGAAATAAGTACTTTTCTAGTTAAGCTCCGCCTTAACGGTTAACAGCTAATAAAAAACAATCATCACAATTGAGACAGGGCGGGTGGGCGGGGCTAAATTTTGCCTTTTTGTTTGACGTTGCTTTTAGAACTGAAAATTGTCAGTTACAAACTCCGTTACCAAATTACCGTTGATAGTAACTTTGATGTTCAATTTTTGCCGCATTTAAAGGGGTTGTAGAAGAAAAGTGGAGGATAAGTTGATTATTACACAAATTTACTATTTTAGACATGTTTTAAGTTTCTTGTTCATAATAAGTCTACACATATTAAGAAAACAAGGCAAAATTTAGCCCCGCCCACCCACCCTGTCTCAATTCTGATGATTTTTTTTATTCGTCATGAGCCAAGAGGGTGGAGCTTAACTGCAAAATTCTTATTTCTCTACGAGAAATTAAAAACATGTTTTTTGAGTATCGTGTTGTTCCAAAGAAATTATGTTTATTAAGAAATAGTATTTTTCAGTTAAATTCCGCTCCCTTGGTTCACAGTGAATAAAAAAAATAATTACAATTGAGATAGGGCAGGTGGGCGGGTTATATATTATGCCTTTTTTCTTAATGTATATAGTATTATTTTAACAACATGATACTCGAAAACATGTTTTTTATTTCTTGTAAAGAAATAAGTATTTTTTCAGTTAAGCTCCGCCCCCTTGGTTAACGGTTAATACAAAAAAAATCATCACTATTGGGACAGGGCGGGTGGGCGGGCTTACAATTTGCCTTTTTATTTGACATTGCTTTTGAAGCTGATAACTGTCATTTATAAACTCCGTTGGTAATTAGCCATTGATAGTAAGTTTGATGTTCAACTTTTGACGTATTCAAAGGAGTTGTAGAGTTTCTTGTTGCCTAAATAAGTCTACACATATTAAGAAAACAAGGCAAAATGTAGCCCCGCCCACCCTCCCTATCTCAACTGTGATGATTTTTTTTATTCGTCGTGAGCCAAGAGGGCGGACCTTAACTGCAAAATCCTTATTTCTCTACGAGAAATTAAAAACATGTTTTTGTTCGAAATAAGTCTACACATATTAAGAAACAAAGGCAAAATTTAGCCCCGCCCACCCACCCTGTCTCACTTGTGATGATTTTTTTTATTCGTCATGAGCCAAGAGGGTGGAGCTTAACTGCAAAATCCTTATTTCTCTATAAGAAATTAAATACATGTTTTTGAGTAGTATCGTGTTGTTCCAAATAAATTATGTATATTAAGAAATAGTATTTTGCAGTTAAGCTCCGCCCCCTTGGTTCACGGTGAATAAAAAAAAAGTGTCTACCAGAACTTACCATTTTAAACATGTTTTAAGTTTTTTGTTCTGAAAAGACGACTACGTATATTTAGAAAAATGGGAAAATATAAGCCCCGCCCACCCGCCCCGTCTCAATTGTGATGATTTATTTTATTCGTCGTGAGCCAAAAGGGCGGAGCTTAACTGTAAAATCCATATTTCCTTACAAAAATTTACCACTTTAAATGTGTTTTAAGTTTCTAAGAATAAAAAAAAATCATTACAATGGAGATGGGGTGGGTGGGCGGGGTTAATATTTTGGCTTTTTTTTAATGTACATAGAATTCTTTGAAGAACACAATACTCATGTTTTTAATTTTTTGTAAAGAAATAAGTATTATGCGGTTAGGCTCCGCCCTCTTTGTTCACGGCGAATAAAAAAATCATCAGAATTGCGATAGGGTGGGTGGGCGGGCCTTCATTTTCCTTTTATTTTCTTAGTATGTGCAGATTTTTTTCACAACATGAAATTTAAAACATGTTTAAAATGGAAAATTTGTATAAGGAAACATCGATTTTGCAATTAGGCTCGGCCCCATGATTGTAAAATCCATATTTCCTTACAAACATGTACCATTTTAACCATGTTCTAAGTTTCTTGTTGTGAAAAGGCGGCTATGAATGGTAAAATATAAGGCCCGCCCACCCGCCCTATCTTAATTCTGATGATTTTTTTTTATTCGTCGTAAGCTGAGAGGCGGGGCTTAATTGCAAGATCCATATTTGTTTACAGGAATTTACCATTTTAAACATGTTTTAAGTTTTTTCTTCTGAAAAGACGACTACGTATATTGAGAAAAGAGGGAAAATATAAGCCCCACCCACCCGCCCTATCTCTATTGTGATGATTTTTCTTATTCGCCATGAATCCAGGGGGCAGAGCTTAACTGCAAAATCCATATTTCCTTACAAAAATTTACCATTTCAAATGTTTTTTAAGTTTCTTGTTCTGAAAACACAACTACGTATAGTTGCGGCCCCCAAAAGTGGACGATTTTTCGTTGTCATGGAATTTTTTGAATTTTTAAATTAATGTAAGTCTGGCTCTTACCAGTGGCGCAGTATTTTTGAATAAACAACATGTCAAATTTGACAAATTTTGTCATTCGAACGCCCACAATTTGAAGATACATTTACAATAGAGAAAATTGTGGAGCACTTTTGGGGGCCGCAACTGTACATTAAGAAAAAACGGAAACCATAAGCCCCGCCCACCCGCCCTGTCTCAATTGTGATGTTTTTTTTTTAATCGTCGAGAACCAAAGGAGCGGAATTTAATTGTAAAATCCGTATTCCCTTACAAAAAATTACCATTTTAAATGCGTTTTAAGTTTCTAAGAATAAAAAAATTATCACAATAGAGATGGGGTGGGTGGGCGAGGTAAATATTTTGCCCTTTTTCTTTTAATTTACATAGAATTTTTTTAACAACACGATACTCATGCTTTTAATTTCTTGTAAAGAAATAAGTATTGTGCAGTTAAGCTCCGCCCTCTTTGTTCACGGCGAATAAAAAAAATTATCAGCATTGAGATAGGGTGGGTGGGCGGGCCTTTATTTTGCCTCTTTGTTTTAATATGCGTAGACTTCTTTCCACAACATGAAATTTAAAACATGTTTAAAATTGGAAATAGCGATTTTGCAATTAGGCTCGGTTCCATGATTGCAAAATCCATATTTTCTAACAAAAATGTACCATTTTAACCATGTTTTAAGTTTCTTGTTGTGAAAAGACGACTTTGTATATTACGATTAAGACAAAAATAGAAAAATATAAGCCCCGCCCACCCACCCTATCTTACTTCTGGTGATTTTTTTATTCGTCGTAAACTGAGGGGCGGGGCTAAATTGCAAGATCCATATTTGTCTACAAGAATTTACCATTTTAAACATGTTTTAAGTTTTTTGTGCTGAAAAGACGACTACTTATGTTGGGAAAAAAGGCAAAATATAAGTCCCGCCCACCCGCCCCATCTCAATTGTGATGATTTTTTTTTAATCGTCGAGAGCCAGAGGAGCGGAATTTCAATGCAAAATCCACATTTCCATAGAAAAACTTGCCATTTTAAATGTGTTTTCAGTTTCTAAGAATAAACAAATCACCACAATTGAGATAGGGTGGGTGGGCGGGGTTAATATTTTGAATTTGTTTTCTTAATGTACATAGAATTCTTTGAACAACACGATACTCATGTTTTTAATTTCTTGTAAAGAAATAAGTATTGTGCAGTTAAGCTCCGCCCTCTTTGGTCATGGCGAATAAAAAAGTTCATCAGAATTGCGATAGGGTGGGTGGGCGGGGCTTCATTTTGCATTTTATCTTTTTAATATGTGCAGACTTCTTTCCACAACATGAAATTTAAAACATGTTTAAAATTGGAAATTTGTATAAGGAAATAGCGATTTTGCAATTAGGCTCGGTTCCATGATTGCAAAATCCATATGTCCTTACAAAAATGTACCATTTTAATAATGTTCTAAGTTTCTTGCGGTGAAAAGACGGCTATGTATATTAAGACAAAAATGGAAAAATATAAACCCCGCCCACCCGCCCTATCTTAATTCTGATGATTTTTTCATTCGTCGTAAGCTGAGGGGCGGGGCTTAATTGCAAGATCCATATTTGTATGCAAAAACTTACCACTTTAAACATGTTTTAAGTTTTTTGTTCTGAAAGGACGACTACGTATATTAAGAAAAAAGGGAAAATATAAGCCCCACCCACCCGCCCTACCTCAATTGTGATGATTTTTTTTTATTCATCGTAAGCCGAGGAGCAGAACTTAATTGTGAAATCCTTATTTTCTACGAGAAATTAAAAAAAAAATCCAAATGAGAAACCCCACCCGTCCGTGTCGATCTCAATCATGATCAATTTTTCGTTGTCTGACTGAGGGGCGGAGCGTAATAGCAAAATCGATATTTCCCTATATAAATTTACCATTGTTAACATGTAAGTTTCTTGTTGTGAAAAGATGACTGCACATATTAAAAAAACAAGGAAAAATGTAGCCCCGCCCACCCACCCTATCTCAATTGTGATAATTTTTTTTAATCGTCGAGAGCCAAAGGAGCGGAATTTAATTGCCAAATCCATATTTCCTTACAAAAATTTGCCATTTTAAATGTGTTGTCAGTTTCTAAGAATAAAAAAGATCATCACAATTGAGATAGGGTGGGTGGGCGGGGTTAATATTTTGGCTTTTTTTTTCTTAATGTACATAGAATTTTTTGAACAACACGATACTCATGTTTTTAATTTCTTGTAAAGAAATAAGTATTGTGCAGTTAAGTTCCGCCCTCTTTGTTCACGGCGAATAAAAAAGTTCATCAGAATTGCGATAGGGTGGGTGGGCGGGCCTTCATTTTGCCTTTTATTTTCTTAATATGTGCATACTTCTTTTCACAACATGAAATTTAAAACATGTTTAAAATGGAAAATTTGTATAAGGAAACGTCGATTTTGCAATTAGGCTGGTCGCCATGATTGTAAAATCCATATTTCCTTACAAATATGTACCCGCCCTATCTTAATTCCGATTTTTTTATTCGTCGTAAGCTGAGGGGCGGGGCTTAGTTGCAAGATCCATATTTGTTTACAAGAATTTACCATTTTAAGCATGTTTTAAGTTTTTTCTTCTGAAAAGATGACTGCACATATTAAAAAAAACAAGGAAAAATGTAGCCCCGCCCACCCACCCTATCTCAATTGTGATTATTTTTTTTAATCGTCGAGAGCCAAAGGAGCGGAATTTAATTGCCAAATCCATATTTCCTTACAAAAATTTGCCATTTCAAATGTGTTGTAAGTTTCTAAGAATAAAAAAGATCATCACAATTGAGATAGGGTGGGTGGGCGGGGTTAAAATTTTGCCTTTTTTTTTCTAAATGTACATAGAATTCTTTGAACAACACGATACCCATATTTTTAATTTCTTGTATAGAAATAAGTATTGTGCAGTTAAGCTCCGCCCTCTTTGTTCACGGCGAATAAAAAAGTTCATCAGAATTGCGATAGGGTTAGTGGGCGGGCCTTCATTTTGCCTTTTATTTTCTTAATATGTGCATACTTCTTTTCACAACATGAAATTTAAAACATGTTTAAAATGGAAAATTTGTATAAGGAAACGTCGATTTTGCAATTAGGCTGGTCGCCATGATTGTAAAATCCATATTTCCTTACAAATATGTACCCGCCCTATCTTAATTCCGATTTTTTTATTCGTCGTAAGCTGAGGGGCGGGGCTTAATTGCAAGATCCATATTTGTTTACAAGAATTTACCATTTTAAACATGTTTTAAGTTTTTTCTTCTGAAAAGATGACTGCACATATTAAAAAAACAAGGAAAAATGTAGCCCCGCCCACCCACCCTATCTCAATTGTGATTATTTTTTTTAATCGTCGAGAGCCAAAGGAGCGGAATTTAATTGCCAAATCCATATTTCCTTACAAAAATTTGCCATTTTAAATGTGTTGTAAGTTTCTAAGAATAAAAAATATCATCACAATTGAGATAGGGTGGGTGGGCGGGGTTAATATTTTGGCTTTTTTTTCTTAATGTACATAGAATTCTTTGAACAAGACGATACCCATATTTTTAATTTCTTATAAAGAAATAAGTATTGTGCAGTTAACCTCCGCCCTCTTTGTTCGCGGCGAATAAAAAAGTTCATCGGAATTGCGATAGGGTGGGTGGGCGGGCCTTCATTTTGCCTTTTATTTTCTTAATATGTGCAGACTTCTTTTCACAACATGAAATTTAAAACATGTTTAAAATGGAAAATTTGTATAAGGAAATATCGATTTTGCAATTAGGCTCGGCCCCATGATTGTAAAATCCATATTTCCTTACAAACATGTACCATTTTAACCATGTTCTAAGTTTCTTTTTTTATTCGTCATAAGCTGAGGGCGGAGCTTAATTACAAGATCCTTATTTCTCTGCAAGAATTAAAAAACAAGCCTAAAATTAAGCCCCACCCATATCCATCCCAAGCTCAATTGTGATTGTCGAATTAGTGTTAAGTGTCTCCCCGACTTTAGGCGATTTTCCTTCAAGTTGGCATCACTGCACACTATCGCAGTTTGATTGGTTGAAAACCCAACTTTCAACGGCAACGTCAACGGCGAACAGTAACGTCAGCGGCACGTTCATAAATCGCCCTTAAGTGGAGTGGGAGTTAAAGCTACCTTAGAAAGTACTAGCCATAGTAAGACAAGTAGTTGAATGGTGTTACGTCTCCAGTTTAGACAGTTTGAAGCAACTAATTCGGACACAGACTTAATTATTGCTAACCCTACTCAAGTTAATAAAATACGAAGTCGTGCTGTCACTTTGATTTGATTCGATCTGTACGAAAATACATGAATATTTTTAATAGTACGGAAAAGAAATGTTGGTCCAAAATTTGGCCACACATTAACATCCAATTAAAGCCTTAACACAGCACACATTTGCAAAATTGGGAGGCAGCCTTAGCCGCTCTAACTAAACTAAAATCTACAAAGACGATTCTACTACCGATTATCACTGGCGTTATTAGAATCACTATCTTCGTTGTCTTCTTCTATTATATCTTCTAATCGCCTGTCTTCTATTATCACGACTACATCTTTTCTAGAATAAAACTCAGTCTAAATGTCTATCAACGCCAACTACTCAACCCTACACACAGAAACCCTTACCAGACAAACCCTCATGCAAACCACGGATCGAGATCGCGCGAATAGTGCCTTCTGCATGCAAAACCGACAGACACAGTACATCACAATCCCCTTGGTGCGACTTACCGTCTCAAAGGCGACGGCGGCATCGGGTTGCGCACGATCTCCAGCAGCTCGATGACCTCGGGCGGAGTGACGGCCTGGACGATACTGGCACCCCGCAGCTCCCGCAGCTCCACCCCCCGGAACAAGTCGCAGCACACCAGCTCCTCCAGCGTGGGAGTGCGCGTGTTCTGGAAAATGAAGCCCAGCGCGTCGGCCACCTTGGGCGCGCGCTCCAGCTCCAGCTGCAAGTGCGCCGGGCTGGGCGGCTTGGGCAACTCGTACCCCGCGGCCATCTCGAAGAGGAGGTACCCGAAAGCGAGGGTTTCGGGCGCGCTGGGGGCCTTCGGGAGCAGCCCCAACAGCGCGTTCTCTAGGCCGGCGAGACGGGCCACTCCGTTCTGGATTACCACATTCCCGGAGTGCAGATGGTAGAACGGGGGAAAGTAGCGGTTGTGGAGGAAGAGGAGCCCTTCGAGGATCTGGCGACCCAAGCACTGGATCTAGAACGACTTAAGTAACAATAATGTGACGAAATTGAGTGGACGCACCGTCCTGAGAGGGAGTCCGTCTCCTCTGCAGCTGTACTTCTTGTCGTAGTCTTCGTGCCAGGGGCTGGCGTAGATTAGGTCCTTCAAGCTCCCGGACGGATTCAAAGGACTGATAAGAGCGGCGCCGGTGTCCCAGAAGTCCACGTCGAGGATCGGGTGGATGTAGGGGTGCTGCAGGCCCCGGAACAGGTCCAGGAGCGTATCCCTGGTGCTTGATGACGGGTTTAAAGGGCACATGGACGGGACGGGGACTAGAGTGAGGAGGCGTTCGGCTCCCAGCGTCGTATCCTGAACGGAAAACCTGCCAAAACTGTCATTATCGTGATTGGCAGCGGCGTCCCGATTTACCAGTGCTTGTCCGTTCGGGATCCGATCTCCCCCAGCTGCACCTTGAGCTCGTATCGATCATTATTGGACAGGTAGTGTTTGCAGGCCATGAAAACGCCATCCCGGATCTGCTGCTCGGCCCGGAACTTCTCGTTCCCGCCGTCGGTCTTCAGTGCGCTGTATTCGTGCTTGGAGCCCCCGGACGACCTGCAATTCAAACGCGACCTTAAAAACCACCCACTCAAAAACGGCGTTTATTATTTAAGCGACTAAGAAGCGGGGCATGTGTGGGCCGCCTGAATTTTTAATCAGTCGATAATCGATACCGTTTGGAGAACAGCCCCCTCGCGAAGCCTTCCCTCGAGTTCGACTTCCCTTCTTCGCTGCCGCGGTTCTCGGAGCTGTGGCTGCGCTTGCGGAACTCGGCCCTTTTGCTGGCGGCGCTGAGGGCGCACGTGGGGAACTCGGCGGCGCTGTGGGCCCTTCGAGGGGCTTTCTTTTTGCGTCTGGAGCTCGAGCGGGAGGTGCGTTCTTGGTAGAAGCGCTCGTGCCCGATCACCTGGGGCTCTTTTTCTTCTTCTTTCTTGTTGATGTTTTGGTAGAGGTTGAACATGGTGACGGGACGTCGGTGCCGAAGCGACTGAGCCGAAGGGATTTTGTAAGGCTTTAAGGGGATTAAAGCGTAATGAGACTGTGGGGATTCTGCTTTCGTGGTGGTTAATTTATTTAGCTGGACGTGACCTTTAGTGCTTCGGGCAGTGGCGTAAATAGCACCCCCGCAGACCCCGAAATGCAGGGGGGCGCAGCGTCAAAAGGGGCGCAGACCGTGACGTAACCGATATATTTTTTAAAATCTGAAATTTTTAAATTGGAATTGAAAATGAGATGCGGTAAATTAATAGCTATTTAACGAACAAGTTTGTTAATAAAGGCGATTAATAATCGAGATATTTTAAGGCGCGAGAAACGAGTTTTTATATTTTTTCTTTTTCTCAATTTGAAAATTTTCAGTTTTTGGATTTTTCAATTTTTTTGTTTTCAATTTTTCGTTTCTTCAATTTTTGATTTGCAGGTTTTCTAGTTTTTATTTTAGATATGTAATAATAATTATAATTTTTATTAGAGTTCACTTTTTCAATTTTTCGTTTTTGGAATTTTTTAATTTTTCGATCTTTGAATGTTAGTTTTTGGACTTTACATTTTTCGATTTAATTCGTTCTTTGATTCATTAATTTTTTCTCGATTTTTAGTTTTTCATTGTTTCAATTTTTCGTTTCTTCAGTTCTACAGTTTTGTCAAATAAATGTTATATAAATTTAAAAAAAGTAACAGTGAATCCTATGGTTTATGAATCCGTGTTGAATTTTATCCTCGACATCGAAATTTTTGTGGAAAAATAAAACAAAATTGAATTACAATTTTTCGATTTCTTGATTTCTCGATTTTTAGTTTACTTAATTTTTCGATATTTCAGTTTTACAATTTTTCAATTTTTGCCTTTTTTAAATTTTCATTTTTACATTTCTCAATTTCTCTATTAATCAATTCTTTGATTTTTTGATTTTTCCTCTTTCCAATTTATCGATTTTTGAAGTTTTCGTTGTTCCAATTTTGGGATTTTTTAATTAAAAATATTTCACTTTTGTTGATATTTCGATTTCTCGATGTTTCGATTTTTAAAATTTCTGATTTTTCGAATTTTGAATATTTTGATTTATCGTTTTTTTTTAAGTTTAAATATGTATTTCAGTTTTAAATTTTCCGGTTTTTCGATTTCGGGCTATTTCGATTTCTCCATTTCTCGGATCTTTTGATGTCTCAATTTTTTAATTTCGATTTCTCGGCTTTTCCATTTTTCAATTTTTTATTTCTTCAAGTTTTTAGATTTTTAAAATTCTCCATTTTTCGATTTTATGTTTTGTTATGCTTCGATCTCCCGATTTTAACCTTTTTAACGTGTATTCCAATTTTTCGATTTTGGAATTTTCGATTTCTTACATCTCGATTTTTCGTTTTTTCGATTTTAAAATATTTTTACTTTTCGTTCTTTTTTTCGATTTTGAAAATTTTCGATTTCTCGATTTTTCAGTTTTTGATTTTCCAACTTTTGGATGTTTCAAATTTTAGAGTCTGCAAATTTCACGAGTGTTTAGTTTTTAATTTCGTCAATTTTTCGATTTGCAATTTTTCGTGTGGGTTTTTAATTTTCTTTATTTTTTCAATTTTCGGCTTCCAATTTTCCGTTTCTTTAATTTTTCATTTGCAGTTTTTCTAGTTTTCATTTTAATTATGTAACACTCCTAATAATTATAATTTTTAAAGTTGTTCACTTTTTCAGTTTTTCGTTTTTGGAGTTTTTCAATTTTTCGGTGTTTGAATGTCACAGTTTTTGGACTTTACGGTTTTCAAGATTCTATAATTTTTCGATTTTACAATTTTTGGATTTTCCAATTTTTCAATTCGAATGGTTTTTCTTCTTTCCCGTTCTTCGATTCATTATTTTTTTTTAGATTTTTAAGTTTCTCGGTTTTTAGTTTTTCATTGTTTCAATTTTTCATTTTTTCGAGTTTTTAACTTTTCGAATAAACAAAATCGAAAAATTATAAAATAGAAAAATTGTAAAACTGAAAAAGTATAAAATGAAAGCTTCGAAAAATAAAAAAAATGGAAATCAAGAACTTAAAAAATCAAAGATTGAAAATGTAAAAAATTGAATAAACAAAAAATTATAAAATCCAAAGAAACATTGAAAAAATAAAGGTAATGGAAAAATGAAAAATTGAGACAGCCAAAAATATAAAAATCGAGAAATCGAAAAATTTTTTAAATTGGAAAATTGAGATGTGAGAAATCGAAAATTCCAAAAATGGAAAAATTGAAACACATTAAAAAATAAAAATCGGGAAATCGAACCATAAAGATTATAAAAGCGAAAAATGGAAAATTTAAAAAATCGAAAATTTAAAATCTATACTAGAAAAATCGAAAATTTTGAAAATCGAAAAACCAAGAAATTGAAATCGAAAACTTGAGACTTCAAAAGATCGAGAAATTGAAATAGGTCCAAATCGCAAAATTCAAAATTGAAATATTTACTTAAAAATAAGATAAACGGAAAAATCGAAAAACTAAAAAAATCGATAAACAGAAAATTCCAAAAATCGATAAATTGAATACAGATAAAAAAATTTAAAAAATCGAAGTTAAAAAATCGTAAAAACAAATTCCATTCGATTTTCCGTTTTATCGATTTTGCAATTTTTTGTTTTTTCAATTTTTACCAATTTTTTTATTTTCCGATTTTTCAATTAAAAAAAAAAAACACAAAATTAAAAAGTCGAAAAATCGAGAAATGGAAAAATGAAAATTTAGAAAAATCAAAGATTGAAAATCATAAAAAAAATTCAAATCGGGAAATCGGAACGTTAAAAAAAATAAAATCGAAAAATTGACAAATTCTAAATTTAAAAATTCGAAAACTTGAAAAACCGAAAAACTGAAGAAATGAAAAACTAAAAAATCGACAAATTGAAAAACCTCAAAACTGAAAAGTCGAAAAATTGAAAAACCCAAAAATCGATTTCCGGTAAGTCGAAAAATCAAAATTTAAAAAGTTGAAAAATGAAAATATCAAAAAACTAATAAATATAGACATTCTCAAAATTGAAATGTTGAAAAATTGAGAAATCGAAAACTTGAAAAATCCAGAAATCGAAAAAAAGAACGAAAAGTAAAAACATTTTAAAATCGAAAAAACGAAAAATCGAGATGTAAGAAATCGAAAATTCCAAAAATGGAAAAATTGAAACACATTAAAAATAAAAATCGGGAAATCGAACCATAAAGATTATAAAAGCGAAAAATGGAAAATTTAAAAAATCGAAAATTTAAAATATATACTAGAAAAATCGAAAATTTTGAAAATCGAAAAACCAAGAAATTGAAATCGAAAACTTGAGACTTCAAAAGATCGAGAAATGGAAATAGGTCGAAATCGGAAAATTCAAAATTGAAATATTTACTTAAAAATAAGATAAACCGAAAAATCGAAAAACTAAAAAAATCGATAAACAGAAAATTCCAAAAATCGATAAATTGAATACAGATTAAAAAATTTAAAAAATCGAAGTTAAAAAATCGTAAAAACAAATTCCATTCGATTTTCCGTTTTATCGATTTTGCAATTTTTTGTTTTTTCAATTTTTTCCAATTTTTTTATTTTCCGATTTTTCAATTAAAAAAAAAAACACAAAATTAAAAGTCGAAAAATCGAGAAATGGAAAAATGAAAATTTAGAAAAATCAAAAATTGAAAATCATAAAAAAAATTCAAATCGGGAAATCGGAACGTTAAAAAAAATAAAATCGAAAAATTGAAAAATTTTAAATTTAAAAATTCGAAAACTTGAAAAACCGAAAAACTGAAGAAATGAAAAACTAAAAAATCGACAAATTGAAAAATCTCAAAACTGAAAAGTCGAAAAATTGAAAAACCCAAAAATCGATTTCCGGTAAGTCGAAAAATCAAAATTTAAAAAGTTGAAAAATGAAAATATCAAAAAACTAATAAATATAGACATTCTCAAAATTGAAATGTTGAAAAATTGAGAAATCGAAAACTTGAAAAATCCAGAAATCGAAAAAAAGAACGAAAAGTAAAAACATTTTAAAATCGAAAAAACGAAAAATCGAGATGTAAGAAATCGAAAATTCCAAAAATGGAAAAATTGAAACACATTAAAAATAAAAATCGGGAAATCGAACCATAAAGATTATAAAAGCGAAAAATGGAAATTTTAAAAAATCGAAAATTTAAAATATATACTAGAAAAATCGAAAATTTTGAAAATCGAAAAACCAAGAAATTGAAATCGAAAACTTGAGACTTCAAAAGATCGAGAAATCGAAATAGGTCGAAATCGGAAAATTGAAATATTTACTTAAAAAAAAGATAAACGGAAAAATCGAAAAACTAAAAAAATCGATAAACAGAAAATTCCAAAAATCGATAAATTGAATCCAGATTAAAAATTTTAAAAAATCGAAGTTAAAAAATCGTAAAAACAAATTCCATTCGATTTTCCGTTTTATCGATTTTGCAATTTTTTCCAATTTTTTTATTTTCCGATTTTTCAATTTCTCTAAGTTTCTACTGTCAGAATAAACAAACTGGAAAAGTTATAAAATAGAAAAATTGTAAAATTGAAAACTCAAAATGAAAAAACGCAAAAGTATAAAAGCAAAGCTTCGAGAAATCTAAAAACTTGAGAAATTGAAAAAATCGAGGAATTGAAAATGTGAAAAATTGAATAAACGAAAAATTGTGATATAAAATCCAGAAAATGAAAATTAAAAAATCGGGAAAATGATATAAAAAAAAATGAAGAACTTGAAACAACATCATTACGCCCAATATGTTCATTGCGCTACACATAACCTCAATTCCGTCCTTAATGATTCTGTTAAGAATGGATGGCAACAACTTAACAGTGAGATGAAAGAAAATGATAAGTGTGTAATAAAAAAAAACTTTAAAAAAGTTATGCCCCACCAGATGGTCATCGAGATTTGATTCTCTAATTGCCACTAGATATAATCTCTCAACAAGAAAACTGAAATAGATGAAGTAGATCTTCGTAAAAAAATTGATTCATTTGAATTTGTTGCTCTATTAGTATTTCAATGCAAAATTTTAGAAAATGTCAATTTGGTCTCAAAAACTTTACAGAGTTCAAATATTACTTTAGATGAGGCTTGTAAATGGATGGAACATCTAAAAGACAAATTTCAAAGTGTACATGACAATTTTGAACAAATTATTATTATTTGTAAATCTGTGTTATTCGGCGCCACTACTGGTAAACCAGTAATTTCATATTAATTTTATATTACTACGCCACTGGCTTCGGGTGATGGACGGGAGGGAGAGATGGTGAATGAGGGGTTGCTTATTATTGATTCAGGGGGCGACATGTGTGCACATTCTCAGAATTGACAATTTAAATTGATTTATGTATTAAAAATTTAGCGTCTTGCGGTTACTTTAATGGAAACGCAAGCCAGAATATCTTGTTTTATCTAAATCACGAAATTTGACATTACGATGTATTTTGGGTTGCATACTCGACTTTGACGAAAATTATATTTTAAAATAAGTACTATATTCTAAGAAAGATTGTGTTATCGATTCTACTTCGACGGCGTGCGTTCAACGATCTGATACGTTTTATTATTCTGCCTGGGTTCATTTCTTGTGTTTATCGAAGTTTAAATCAAAATAAAAACTCAAGTCGATAATTTCGCCGCATTTATTTTACTTCGAAACTTTTAAAACTGCGCGTCACAAAAGAGTTATTTCCATCAACTTTGAAACCCTCATTTGAACCGTATTCACCCAATTGTCAAAAAGAGCAAACGCCAAAATAAACAGCCCTCAACCTCTCAATCATTCCTCTCGTCTCTGACGTCACTTGTATAACAACCCTTGAAATTTTCATCGCCGGAAATAAAATCGCGCTCCAATAAACCCCCATTCAAGTAATTGAAAGGTGAGAGCTTAACAGCGCCATAAATCCTCCTCTGGAGTCACAACTTCATAAACCTCGTTACGATAACTGTCTTTACGACCCGCTCAAATGGAAAATCAATCGAACAAATAACGATACTGAATCGACAAAAAAATAATCACCTGCATTTTCGTATCCAGAAGACGGCCAGCGCCAAGGCGCCGAGCCCCAGGACCACCAGCGACGCAGACACCTGTGTACCAACAAAGCAACCATTTAAGAAAAACAGCACGAGCTTTGCTCACCCATGGATGGTTTCCGGCCGCCTGCGGCACCTTTTTCGTACCATCAACTTTCATTTTTCATGTTTTCGCTGGACGGTTTTTCGATTGGGTCGAACGTTACATGCCGCGAGCAACAGGACAGAGATAAAGCGATTCATAAAACGAATTACAGGAAAGCTCACTTGGAAGGCTAACACCGGAACTGAAATAAACGCCTGAAAACACGCAAATTGCAAGCACGCATGGTATGAGAGTTGTCGTGGACGACGACCAGTCAATACGAGGGGAGGACGCTTGCGTAGAGGCGAGGGACAAGGGCGCGAATTTGGGACAGGGAAATTACAGGATGTGGGTCAGAGTCGGGTGACGTCACGGGATGGAAAGTGGGTTTAAAGGGGAGGGCTCGAGGAAGTGCAGCGTTCACTGCAGTGGTGCTGTTTGCATTCTTAAGGAACGGGCGAGTTTGAATTAGGCGCCCTTTGGTGTCCTACAAAGCTGTGGTATTATATTCCGAAAATTTTCTGGGAAAATGGAGTTCGTGATTTAATCAATAAAATAAATTTTGAGCCACCTATTTAAACAAATGTAAAAAAATATGAATGCAAAGATAAATCACAAGTAAAAACTCATCATATTTTGCACATTTTGGGTAGAATTTATTAGGCAAAATTTTGAGATGACGTCATCAATTTTTTGGTGGGAATTAAACAGATAGATTCTGTTTAATAATTTTCCAAGAAGATTTCAAAGTATTCAGTTTTGAAATTCTTGATTTATTGAATAAAATAAATTGACTGATTCATTAATTTTTATTATTTATTATTAATTTAAAAATGTAAAAAATTAGGTTCTCAAAAAATTTAAAAAAAAATCCAAGAAAAACAAAAAAATTCAACAAAGTCCGAGAAGACGAAAAAATCTAGAAAATCCGAAAAATCGAAAAAATCCAAAAAATCTGGAAAATCCAGAAGATCCAAAAATACAGAAAATATGGAAAATCTGAAAAATCTGGCAAATCTGGAAAATTCAGTAAATCTAAATAATCTGGAAAATTCAGGAAATTTGAAAAATCTGGAAAAACCTGAAAATCCAAGAAATCTGAAAAATCTGGAAGATCCAGAATATTTGAAAAATTTGTAAAATCTAGGAAATTTTAAAAATATGGACAATCTGCAAAATCCAGAAAAACCAGAAAATCTAGAAATTTTGTAAAACTTAGAAGATAGAATATCCGAAAAATCAGAAAAATTCACAAAATCTGAATAATCCGGAAGATCCAGAGAATGCAGAAAATCTAAAAAATCTGGCAAATTAAAAAAATCTGAAAATCTATAAAATCCACAAAATTTGAAAAATCTAGATGATTTGAAAAATCTGGAAAATATAGAAAATCCAGATAATTCAAAAACTGCAAAAAATCTAAAGCAAAAAATCAAAAAAATTAAAAAAAATCTCAAAAATTTAAAAAACCAAGAAATTAAAAAAATCCAAAAAATGGAAAAATCCAGGAATTTGGAAAATGCAGAAGTCCAGAAAATTCAGGAAATTCAGACAATCCAAAAAATCTGAAAAATATGGAAAATCCAGAAGATCCAGAAAATCCAAAAAATCTGAAAACTCCTCAAAATCTGAAAAAGTCAGAAGAGTCAGACAATCTGGAAAATCCGCAGAATCTGGAAAATCCATAGAATCTGCAAAATCCCCAAAATCTGGCAAATTTGGAAAATCTAGAAAATCCAGAAAATCTGAAAATTTGGAAAATCCTGAAAATTCAAAAAATCTAAAATCTAAACAAATCCACAAAATTTAATCAAAACCAAAAAATTCCTGAAATTAAAAAAAACAAAAAATCGAAAAAATCCAAGAAATCCAAAAAATCAAACAAAACTAAAAAATCCAGCAAATCCAAAAAATCTGGAAAATCCGTGCAGAATCTGGAAAATCCACAGAATTTGGAAAATCCCCAAAATCTGGAAAATTTGGAAAATCTAGAAAATACAGAAAATCTGGAAAATCCATAAAATCCAAGCAAATCCAAAAAATCTAAACAAGTCCACAAAATTTAATCAAAACCAAGAAATTCCAAAAATTGAAAAAACAAAAAATCCAAAAAAATAACAAAAAACCGAAAAAATCGAAAAAATCCAAGAAATTAAAAAAATCAAACAAAATCCAAAAAAATCAAGAAAATCTAAAAAATCCGGAGAATCGGGAAAATATAGGAAACCCAAAAAATCAGAAATCCAGAAAATACTAATAACATGGAAAATCTGAAAAATCTGGAAAATCCAGGTAATTTGGAAAATCTACACACAATCTGGAAAATCAAGAAAATCCTGAAATTTGGACAATCTGCAAAATCCAGAAAAACCAGAAAATTTGTAAAATCTACAATATCCAGAAAATTTGGAAATTCTGAAGATACAGAAAATCCAAAAAATCTGGAAAATTCACACAATCCAGAATATTTGGCAAATCTGAAAAATCCAAAAATTCTGATAAATCTGTAAAATCCAGAAAATTTGTAAAATCTAGAAAATCTGAAAAATCTGGAAAATATAGAAAATTCAGAAAATTCAAAAACTGCAAAAAACCCAAAGAAATAAATAAAAAAATCACAAAAAATAAGAAAATCTAGAAAATCTGAAGAGTCAGGAAAATCTAAAACATCCAAAAATTGCAAGAAATTAAAAAAAAAAACGAAAAATATCGAAAAAATTTAAAAAATCCAAGAAATTAAAAAAATCCAACAAAATCCAAGAAATTGAAAAAAATCCAAAAAATCTGGAAAGTGTAGAAAATCCAAAATCCAAAAAATTCAGGGAATTCACAATCCAAAAACTTTGAAAATTTGGAAAATCCAGAAAATTTATATAAAATCAGAAGATCTGAAAAATATGGAAAATATGGAAAATTCAGAAGATCCAGAAAATCTGGAAAATCCTCAAAACCTGGAAAATTTGCAAAATCTAGAAAATCCCTAAAATTTGAAAAATTCAGAAAATCCAGGAATCCAGAATGTCCACGAATCCAAAAAATCCAGAAAATCTGGGAAATCGAGAAAATCTGGAAAATCTAGAAAATCTGAAAAATCCAGAAAATTCAAAAATTGCAAAAAATCCTAAGGAAAAAATCAGAATATAAAAAAAATTCTGAAAAATTTAAGAAAGTTCAAGAAATCCAAAAAATCCAAAAAATCCAACAAAAACCAAAAAAATCCAAAAAATTGAGAAAATCTAGAAAATTTGAATAATCGGGAAAATCCAGAAAATCCAAAAATTGCAAAAAATAAAAAAATCGAAAAAAAAACTAAAAAATGCAAGAAATTCAAAAAAATCCAAAAAAAAAATCTGAAAAATCCAGAAAATTCAGAATATCCAAAAATCCAGAAATCCGAAAATTCAGAAGAATCTAGAAAATCCAGAAAATCTGGAATATCTGAAAAATCTTGAAAACCCAGAAAAATTAAAAAATCCAGAAAATCCAGGAATCCAGAAATTCTAGGAATCCAGACAAAATCTAGAAAATATAAAAAATCCAAAAAATCTAGAAAAAAAGTCTGAAGAACCAGAAAATCTGGAAAATCTGCAGAATCTGGAAAATCCCGAAAATTTAGAAAATCCAGAAAATCCAAAAAATCCAAGCCAATCCAAAAAATCATAGCCAAAAAATTCCAAAAATCTAAAAAATCCAAGAAAGCTAAAAAATCAAACAAAATCCAAAAAATCAAGAAAATCTGGAAAATCCGGAGAATCTGGAAAATCTAGAAAATCCGGAAAATCAGAAAATTAAAAAATTGCAAAAAATCTAAAGAAATATATCAAAAAATCACAAAAAATAAGAAAATCTAGAAAATCTGAAAAGTTCGGAAAATCTAGAATATCCAAAAATTGCAAAAAATCCAAAAAAAAAACCTAAAAATATCGAAAAAATTTTAAAAAATCCAAGAAATTAAAAAAAATCTACAAAATCCAAGAATTTGAAAAGATCCAAAAAATCTGGAAAATGCAGAAAATCCAAAAGCCCAAAAAATTCGGGGAATTCAAACAATCCAAAAAATTTGAAAATCCAGAAAATTTATATAAAATCAGAAGATTTGACAAATATGAAAAATGTGGAAAATTCATAAGATCCACAAAATCAAAGAAATCTGGGAACTGCACAAAATTTTGAAAAGTCAGAACATCCAGAAAATTTGAAAAATCCAGAAAATCCAGGAATCCAGAAAGTCCAAGAATCCAGAAAATCTGGAAAATCCAGCAAATCTGGAAAATTTAAGAAATCTGGAAAAACCAGAAAATCTGAAAAATCTGGAAAATCCATAAAATTCAAAAATTGCAAAAAAACCCAAGGAAAAAATCAGATAATCAAAAAAATCTGAAAACTTTAAAAAAGTTCAAGAAATCCAAAAAATCCAACAAACCCAAAAAGTTCTAAAAAATTAAGAAAATCTAAAAAATCTGAAAAATCGGGAAAATCCAGAAAATCCAAAAATTGAAAAAATAAAAAAAATGGAAAAAATTAAAAAATTCAAGAAATTAAAAAAAATCCAACAAAATCAAAAAAATCTGAAAAATCCAGAAAATTCAGAATATCCAAAATTCCAGAAATCCGACAATTCAGAAAATTCAGAAGAATCTAGAAAATCCAGAAAGTCTGGAATATCTGAAATACATATCTTAAAAACCCAGAAAAATTGAAAAATCCAGAAAATCCAGAAATTCTAGGAAACCAGAACATCCAGGAATCCAGACAAAATTTAGAAAATATGAAAAATCCAAAAAATCTAGAAACTCCACAAAAAATCTGAAAAAGTCTGAAGAACCAGAAAATCTGGAAAATCCTCAGAATCTGGAAACTCCCCAAAATCTAGAAAATCCAGAAAATCCAAAAAATCCAAGCCAATCCAAAAAATCAAAACCAAAAAATTCCAAAAATTAAAAATAAAAAATCCAAAAAAAAAACAAAAAATTGAAAAAATCAAAAAAATCCAAGAAATCCAAAAAATCAAACGAAATCCAAAAAAATCAAGAAAATCTGAAAAATCCGGAGAATCTGGAAAATCTAGAAAATCCTAAAAATTCAGAAAAACATGGAAAATCTGAAAAATCTGGCTAATCTGAAAAATTCAAAAAATCAAGAAAAAATCGGAAAATCCAAGAAATTTGGAAAATCTAGATAATCTGAAAAATCTGGAAGATTCTGGAAATGCAAGAAGTCTGAAAAATCTGGAAATTACAGAATATTTGAAAAATTTAGAACAATT